CAGAGGAAGCTAAGCAGTCACTGTGGAATAGTTGTGAAGTCTTAGAAATGGATGTTTTGGCCCTGGCTGGTTTGGCTCAGCAGTTAGAGCGTCAGCCCGCGGACCAATGAATCGCAGGTTCAGTTCCAGTCAAGGGCACACGCCTCAGTTGCGGTTTGTCCCAGGCCCTGGTCAGGGTTGTGCAGGAGGCAACCTGTTGATGTGTCCCTCTCATGTTGTCAATCTCTCTCTCTCTCTCTCTCTCTCTCTCTCTCCCTCCCTCCCTCTTTCCCTTCCTCCCTCCCACTCTATCTGAAGATAAATAGAAAAAAAATATCCTCTGGTGAGGACTTAAAAAGAAAAAAAAGAAAGAAATGGATGTTTTGTGGCCCCTGAGACACTAAGAAGCTGTGTGACATTGAATAAATCACTTCCTCTCTCTGGGCTTCAGTTTCTTCTTCCTCAGGCTAGACAGGGCCTCGGGTCACCTGGCAGCCCTGCTTCTGAGCGGATGGCCCTCAGGCCCGAGTTGCACAGAAGTAATGCTGTGCAGGTACAGGCTCTGGGACCACTCTGCATGGATTTGAATCTCAAACACGCGCCGGCCTGTGACCTTAAACACGTTCCAAACCTCTCTGTACCTCAGCTTCCCTGTCTGTAGAGGGAAGGCGACAGTATCAGCTGCATAAAGCTGTTGTGAAGGCAGATGAAGCTGCTGGCGTCTCCGTTCTCCATTCGCTCACGTACCAGGCGCTTGTAAGTGCTCGCTCCACGAGCGTGGTCGTTACGATGACTGCAGAATGACAGGAACCGCAGCAGCTCCCTGTCGCATGTGCCCCCGGATGGGTGCCAGCTGGCCTGGGGGCAGGAGGATGGCCGGGTTGACCCCTGGAGGACGTCTAGTTGCAGGAAGGAAGCTGTTTGGTCCCTGTTGGCTCAGTACACCCACAGAAACCCGGCACCTCACGCCCACCTGGGAGCGAATTCTCGACGGCCAGCATCACCTCGGATAAGCAGCACGAGACTGGGTGGAAGGTGTCTGAGATGAGCTAGCAAGGGAGAGGGAGGCGCAGCTCCCGAGAAAGGGAGGGAAGAAGCACAATCTGAAAAACACACAGCCAGCTTGGCGAGACTCAGGCCCTTGGGTGTGCTCCTGGGCCTCACCGCTGCCTGTCGCCAGGGCCAGGGCGGCCTGTCTGGTAACAGAGCTGCCGAACGCTGCCGAGGGCAGAGGGAGCTGTGGGCTGAGTGGGGCTCTGTTTCATGTCCTGGGGTTCCTGGCGTAGGAGGCGGGTCACTGGGATGTCTGGAGGAAGGGTCTCAGCCCGTGGTGGGCATGGGCCTCCTCAGCTGCTGCAGAGAAAACACCGCTGGGCGGGGGGGCTGCAGGCTTCCGGTTCACTGAGCATCTCTGCACAAGGTCCGGTGCCGCTTGCGGTGGCCGAGCCAGAACTCAAACCCAGGCAGCTGGTCCCAGGCCTGCCGGTGGATAGTCCGGGTGAGATTTTTCTGACCTCGGTTTCCTCATCTGGCAACGGGCACAATTGCCTGCCTTGTGGCGGGGAGGTGAGTTTTCTATGAAGTTCAATGGGGCTTACGCTTCAGGACCCCTCCTGCCCGGGCCCCTTCCAAGCCCCTAGACTTTTTATTTTTAATTTAAATGTGTAAAGTTTTTTCACTGAAGTATAGTCACTATGCCCTAAAGTATACATGTTTGAAGTGGACAGTTTGATAAGTTCTGACAGATATGTACACCTGTGAAGCCATCACCACCACCAAGAGAATGAACATCTCCATCTTAACCTAAAATGATCTTAACCTAACGTTGTATTTGTATTATAAAATCTTTTTTCTCAAAGAGAGCCTTCCAAGTCTTAGATGCTTTAGGCCCCACAGAAGTCTGGATTTGCTCCCGTATAGAGAGACTCAGTTGAGACCAGAGTGAGAAAGCACTTTGAAAAAATTCTGTCCAGCTAATCAGATGTAAATAGTTATTTCTTTTATTTAACTTGCACTTTCCCCTTAGAAGCTAAAACCTTTATGGGACATCTGACCAACACATCCTCTTTCCCTTGTCATTCATTTAGCAAATATTTACTGGACCCTACTGTATGCAGGCAGTTTCTAGGTGTAGCGTATGAATAAGTAAGTAAACAGACAGAAAGCCCTGTGCTGGGAGCTTCCCCCGTGGGAGTCGGGGGCAGACGGCTCTGAGTGAGTAAGGGTTACGTGGTGTGTCAGAGGTGCTGTGAGGTGGGTGCAGATGGCCAGCATAAAGGGTGAGTGGGAGGCGATCTCAGCTTTCAGTGGGTGTTCAGGGAAGATGTCCTCAAGGCAATGGCATCTGAGCAAAGAAGCCAGGGCACGGGGGTCTCTGGGGCAGAGCACGGATGTACAAAGGCCCTGAGGTGGGAGTGGGCCTGGCACGTTCCAGGAACAGCGAGGAGACCTGGGGGGGGTGGCATGAGATCAGAGGGGCTGGGTTGGGGACCGGGTGGACACATCCTGTGGGGGCTTCTTGGACCTTGTAGGGGCTTAGACACTTTAATCTGAGGGAGGTGGGATGCCATTGGAGGGTGTTTGAGCCACAGGATCCCTGTGGCCACTGAGAATAGACTCGGATCAGGGAATTTAGGTCGAAAGCTTTCATCACGGTCCAGGCCAGAGAGTGGGGAGGGGGTGGCCTGGGCTGTGCAGAGAGGAGGATGCGAAGTGGCTGGATCCCAGATAGAGTTGGAAGATAGAGCCATCGGGATTCACTGGTGGACTCGTCTCTTCATTCAGTCATTTGACAGGCAGGAGCCAGGTATCGGAGATGTAGACCCGAATGGGGATGTGACCTCTTCCTCGGAGGTGCTGGGAATCCAACAGGAACAGACAGACTTGATACGCTGCCACCTGCTACAGGTGTGGGCTGGAGAAGCGGCACTAGAACCCTGTCCCAGACGGTGTCTGAGCCTCTCGACTAAAGTGTCTCCTGCCTTCTCCTTGCCTCCAGCTCTCCCACCAACCCCAAGACTCCAGCTAGTTCTCAACACCACCTCAGGCAGCACTGTAACCAACCCCCTGTCTCAGGGACCTTCTCTCCGCCCTCTCTCCTTACCCCTGGACTGGTCTCTGAACTAGACGGCTTACGTGGGCCCGGAACGCTGCGTTCGTGGGACAGAAGGGAAACGGCCGTGGGGAGCTCCATTGAGCCACAGTTATATGTTTCCTGAGTCTGTAAAAATTTGGTTGGGAAAATCTGGGGACAGAGCCTTTAAAGGGCCTGGATTTCGGGAGAAGGCTGAAACAGAGCCGTAGCAGGCTCTGACGCAGCGCGTGTGAGCTGGGCTGCGGCTGCCGCCAGCCCCGTTCTCGGACCGGTTTCAGTCCCTGGTGGTGATGACTTAGCTCTGTTGCCAATGAAAAAACATTTAATTATTTATTTTTTTTGGTTAATCCTCACCTGAGGATATTTTTCCATTGATTTTTAGATAGAATGGAAAGGAGGGAGAGAGAGAGAGAAACATCAATGTGAGAGAGACACGCACGACCCCAACTGGGGCCGCGGACCGAACCTTCAACCACGATACGTGCCCATGGCTGGGACTCAAACCCCAGTCCGCTGACACTAACCACTGAGTGAAACCAGCCAGGGTGGAGAAGGCATTTCCTAACTGCGGCGTGGGTGTCTCTAGCTGGACGCGGGGTAGGGCATCCACCGGCCTGCGGAAGGAGCCTGGAGAGCACCTTTCCCTGGGACGTTTTGAGAAGGCACATCTTGCTGGATCTCGGTTTTTGGTGCAGACCAGCCTACCAGCGGTGTCCCCAGGGTCTGGTCCTCCCCCGCCCCCTGTCCCTGACCCAGATAGGTCAGTGCTTCCAGGCCTGCAAGTCTTTTTGGCAGACCAGATCTCCTGAGGATAGCCTCTTAAGTCAGCCTTGGCAGTGGGGACAGGTCAGCTGGGGGGCCAGCGTGGCCTTGGCTATGCTCTCTTTTTACAACCCAGGAGTGGCAGAGAGCCCACTCGTCCTGCCTCCCCTGCACTGCCCGTCCTCACTCATAGGCAGGCCCTCCAGACTCAGCAGGGCCCAGCAGTCAGAGCAGGCTGGTGGCTGTGCCCTCGGGCCCCAGAGTGGAAGCCAGGAAGTGATAGCTGCCACGCAAACCCTCTCGCCCTCCCGCTCCCCGACCCAGTGCCCTTCTCTATGGTCTGATCCTCCCAGTGGTCCAGGTCCAGCTGAAGGCTCACCTGACCACCCAGCCGGAACTACCCCTGCCCTCAGAACACACTGCGCGATGCCTGTCGCAGCACGAGCGGTGTGGGCACACGTCTTGGCGAGGCGGGGAGCTCTGAACACACCCCTTTTCCTCCCGCTGTGACAGCGGGGCACTCCCTGGGTCTCTCACGGGTAGGTCAGCCTCCAGGAGGTGGGGCTGGGCGAGCACCAGTGTTACCTGTTGCCTGCTCCTCTCAGAGCATGGAGCTGGAGATGGGTTGGCCCGGGTGTTCTTGTCGGAGTCATGGGCCTCCGGCCTCCTCTGATACTCAGTGTGCCAGCATTGTGCCCCGTGCTCCCTGCTGCCCACAGACAGGACCAGACATCTTGAAGGGCCTGCTCTCTTGTGAGGTGTGGGAACCTGGGAGCTGCACAGAGGGAGGGCCAGGGCCCCGGCACTTCCTTGGAGCCTCCCAAATGTGCAGAAGGCCCCAGGAGGAGGTGGGGCAGGGCAGCAGCTGGCAGGCTGTTCTGGGGCAGAGGTGAGGAGGTGGCCAGAGTGCACAAGGAGGCTCTGAGAGGGCTCCTCAAGCTGAGCACCTCCTTGCGCTCTGGTTACCAGTCCCCCAGCAGGGCCTCGGCTTCCTCGTGCTGCTGGGAGATCCCTGGGATCCCAGGATGGCAGGAAGGAACTTGCAGAGTCCTCACGCCAAGTACCCACTGAGGGTGGGCAGAGGGTACGGGAGGAGACCTCTCAGATCTTATCGTTTGCCTGCCTTTGGTCTTCCTGCCACCAATGGCTCTTGCTTTCTCCACAGGTCGGAATGAGCTGATTGCCCGCTACATCAAGCTCCGGACAGGGAAGACCCGCACCAGGAAGCAGGTGGGCCCTGGGAGACGGGCATGGGTCCCCGGGGCAGGCACCCAGCACCAGCCTGCTCCCAAGGTGGGCCGGGTCCTCCTCAGCACCCAGTGTGGGCTCTCAGGGGGGCTCGCCTGGATGGGTCATCTCTTTCTGGTGTGCCGCGGACAGTTGGTTTTCCCCGCCGTCCCTGCTGCCGTCACCTGGGAGGGAATCTCTCGCCTTCCTGGGGAGTCAGCAGCCCCTCCCCACCCCCCAGGACTCCGGAGAACAGAAAGCAAAGCGCTGGAACTGCACTTTCCTCATTGCCAAGCTGTGGACTAGCTAGGTTAATCAGGGCTGAGGGCCCTGTCGTTCCTTCAGTCATGTATCCATTTATTCATTCAGTCCACAAATGTGAATGAGGCCCTGAGAGGGCCGAGGGTCAGGGAGCCAGGACGGGGAGCGGGGAGCACAGCCGTCTGGGAACTAGGGTCAGGAGCCTTCTCTTCTTGCCATAGGTCTCCAGCCACATCCAGGTGCTGGCCCGTCGCAAAGCCCGTGAGATCCAGGCCAAGCTAAAGGTAAGGCCAATGGCAGCTGAGGGCGGGAGGACCTAGGGCACAGAGGGGCCATTTCCAGGAAGTTGGGGCTCTTTCACCAGCAGGAAAAGTCTTCCCCTGTGTTTGGGGGCTGGCCGCCAGTGTGTGGAGCCAGCGTGCTTCTTGGTGCTGAGAACATGGGGCGCTGCCTGTAGCCTCTCCTGCCAGCCCAGGGAGGGGCACTGGACCTTAGAGCCATCCCGGGGCCACAGGCCAGTCTTCTGCCGTGCCCCGTCCCCTGGAGCAGTGCCCTCACCAGTCACAGTGGATCGCCCTCTGGACCTCGAGCCCTGGCTGGTGCCGTCAGCCTGAGCCTGTGGGGTGGTCAGGCATGGGGGCACTGTGGGAGCAGGTGGAATTCCTTCCCACGCCCTGTTCTCTGGGACTGGCCGTTCCTTCCCCTCCCTGGACCGGCCCCTGGAGGGCCCAGTGACAGGTGACTGCTCTGCGGAGGGCCAGCTGCTGGCAGCATTCCCCTGGGGCGCCCTGCTCCCCGCAGGCGGCGGGCCTCTGGACCCTGGAGCCAGGGTCCCTTTTGGTGACTCGTAGGAGGAAGCGCCCCTGCTGGAGGTGTTAACTCAGAGCCTGCCCTGCCACTTGGTAGGAAGAGCCAACATTTGGGGGCATCAGACTAGACCCGCAGTTTACACACATTTTTTTTAAAGCAGTAGAAGCCCCCTTGGTTTTGTTTTTCCCAAACAAAATATCACCCCAATTTGTTATTAAAGGAGCAGCTCTGGTCAACGCTAGGTTAGTGAGGAACAGGCCGTAGGCCAGACGCCGCCTCCTCTTCACCTCTCGTGCCCATGGCTCTTGACCCCAGAGTACCCAGAACCCAGTTTAAAAGCCCTGGACTGGATGACCCTGAAGGTCCTGTGTGGCCCTTCGTGATCCTGACCCTGGAAGTTCTGAGGGAGTGGGTGGGAACTCCTAGGAAGCCACACCCCACTTCCCCGCTCAGCTCTGTTCCTCCTGCCAGCAGCCCAGCTGTCCCCCACCCCTTTGTCCCTGGACAGCTGGCTGGGCCTCAGCTGTCATCCCTCCCTCTCAGGCTGCACGTGTGCCTCCAGACCACCGAAGGGTCCTGGAGCCCAGCTCGCCCCTCATGTCCCCGCTCTGGTTTGCCTCTGGCTCCCTGGGACCCTGGGCGGGGACCAGAGTGGAGAACAGACTTTTCCAGTGCTGTGTAGAGTCATTGAGGGGCTTTTACTTCTGGGGGGCCTGGCTGTCCGGCTCACATTTGCTTGGAGGAACTGCACCTGTCCTTGTCCATGGCTCTTATTTGGGGTCTAGGGACAGCCTTCAGTGGACCACTGGACAGACACCAAGGGGAGCCATGAGCCCCTAAATAATATGTAGATTTTTACGCATGTGTGTGTTTTCCCTTGGAGATTGGTCTGAGGGTTTCGCCACATTCTCAGGGGTCTCAGAGCAAGGGCAGATAGAGTCCTCCAGGTTTCAGGCTTGGTCTGGTCTGGCTCTGCCCTTGTGCTGGGTGAGCGTAGGCGAGTCACTGCCCCTTGAGCTCCATCCAGTCTCCCCATCTCTAACTGACAGGGTTAAGCAGGGAAGTATTAGAGATGCCCCCCCCCCAAAAAAAGACTCCCTGGCTCTGTAACCTGGTCACTGATGACATTCCCCATAATGTCCTTCTCACGTCCCTGACTCCTGCTCCACCCGCTGAGGATCGGTTCCCCGAGCCCCAGGGCTCGTTCGGACCAGCTATCCAGGGAGGGACGGTTGCTGACATGGAACGGAGCTCCCAGCCTCGTGATGCAGCTGTAGCTGCAGCGTCTGCAGGCTTTCCAGGGTGTGGCCCGAGTGTCCTGCATGTCCTCCTGCGTGGACAGGGCCTGGGCGCCGGGCCTGGGTGGGTGTGGCTTTGCCCTCAACAGTGCAGTGTCCTTGGGAAGAGGCGCACCTGTGTTGACTGTCAGCTAACTCCCTGTGGTTGTCAGACAGCGGGAGAGCAAGGCCCGGGTTTGGCCTCGAAGGGACAGGGAGTTGGGGATGACCCCCCTGCACACACACTTGGCATGGTCCTGTGCCCTCCGTGTTATACACCCATGCTGTCAATCCTAACATGCCCCGCCCCCTGGGCCTGCAGAAGTCCAGAGGTGAACTCTGCGCCAGCCCGGACCAAGCCCGCAGGGCCGGCCAGCACCCTTGTCGCCTACATTTCCTGGGCCTCAGTTTCTTCATCTTAAAATGGGGACCCTCTGGCCTTGCCCGCCTCACAGGAGTGCTGTGATGTCAGAGTCAGTGAGACAGTCAGTGTTCTTAACCTTCTGTGGCCGTCTTGTGCCACATGCATGTAAATGGCCCCTGGGAGGCTGAGTGGAAGGGCCTGTGTTCTGGCTCTACAGCCTGTGGCACAGGCATGCTGGGTGGGCCGCCTGGACCCTCAGAGCCCAGCGCCACACGCAGGTGATCCCTGCCTCGTGAGGCCACGGGACTGAGTTAAATCTGTGAGCCGGAAGGACCTCCACCTGTTCTTGTTTGTCACTTAGGACAGGTCTGGGGTAAATAATGCTTATTTTCCCCTTAAAACATAGAATTTCTAGCCCAGTTGGTGTGGCTCAGTTGTTGGGCATCGACCCATGCACCAAGAGGTCGCCGGTTCGATTCCCAATCAGGGCACATGCCCAGGTTGTGGGCCTGATCCCCAGTGGGGGGCATGCAGGAGGCAGCCATTTGATGTTCTCTCTCATCGTTGTTTCTGTCTCTCTCCCTCTCCATTTCTCTATCTCTAAAATCAATAAAGAAAAAAATAATAAGCCCTGGCCGGTTTTGATCAGTGGTTAGAGCGTCAGCCCGCAGACCAATGACTCACGGGTTCGATTCCAGTCAAGGGCACGAACCTCGTTGTGGTTTGGTTCCTGGCCCCGGTTGGGGTCGTGCAGGAGGCAACCAGTTGATGTGGCTCTCTCACTTCGACGTTTCTCTCTCTCCTGCCCTTCCACTCTATTTGAAGATTAAATAGAAAAATATCTTCCGGTGAGGATTAAAAAAAAAAGCGAAAGAAAAAATAATAAAATAAAAACACATAGAATTTCTGATCAGAACTTTTGAGTTGATATGATCCAATCTTTTAGCCCCATTAAAGCTACATACACGGACTAATGTTAGCTGTTCCCATCTGCATATGTGGTCTTCTTATTTTGTATAAAGACACTATTTCCATTGGGCATTTTGAAATATAGATGTTGTCTCATCAGTTTTTTTGTTGTTGTTTTCCTTTGTTGATTTTAGAGCGAGAGGAAGGGAGAGGGAGAGAAGATAGAAACATCGATGAGAGAACATCGATTGGCTGCCTCCTGCATGGCCCCACTGGGGATTTGGCCCACAACCTGGGCATGTGCCCTGACTAAGAATCGAACTGTCTACTTCTCGGTGCATGGGTTGATGCTCAGCCACTGAGCCACACTGGCTGGGCGTCTTGTCAGTTTTTAAATATCTTTGGGATTGGGGAGCTCACAATGGGAACTAGGCTTATTATTAGTCCTATTGGCCCTGGCTGGGTGGCTCCGTTGGTTGGAGTGTCGTTCCATACACCAAAAGGTTGTGGGTTTGATTCCTGGGCAGGGCACGTACCTAGATTTCGGGTTTAATCCTTGGTCAGGGCGAGTATGGGAGGCAACCGATCAATGTTTCTGTCTGACATTGATGTTTTTCTCTCTCTCTTTCTTCCTCACTCTCTCAAATCAATAAACGTATCCTTGGGTGAGGATAAAAAGAAATGATCAGTACTGTTGTTACTAGCAGTGTCAGCGTGCTCATTCGTTCAGCGCCTATGCAGGGTGAACCCTTTCTTCAGGTTGGACCCACAAAGAGCAGGCAGCCAGTGTTTACGTTCTGACCTGTGAAGGGAGTCTTGTGGGCCCCCACGGTGCAGGGGAGACCCACAGGGCAGGATTGAGACAGGTGTGCTCACAGGAGACTGTCTGCGCCTCCCAGCCGTCCCTGTGACCAAGGACGACCCCCTGCTCATTCACGGGGATCCAACAGATAATTCTGCACCACCTGCCCTGAGCAGGTGCTGCCCAGCCGCTGGCGGTGCGGGATGAGCAGGGACTAAAGTTTCCTGGTCTCAACTGGTGGCCGCCAGGGGGAGGGGGCGGTGGAAAAGGTGAAGGGGAGTAAGAAGTACAAACTTCCAATTATAAAATAGACCACAGGGATGTCGTGTACAGCACGGAGAATATAGTCGATAACACTGTGATAACGTTGCGTCATGGTGGATGATTACGAGATGTAGTGTGGAGATCACATCGTGAAGTGTGTAAATGTCAAATCACTGTTTTGTACATCTGATATTGATATACTGTTCTATGCCAACTATACTTCAATAAAAATAGTTTTTTAGTCCAATAAATAAATAAATAATACATACATAAAAGGTCCCTGTTCCAAAGGTGTTTCCGTGGTTAGTAAATGGGAAGATACGGTCTAGTAGGTGGTCTCCGTCTCTTTAAGTGCCAGTCAGGTAGTCAGGGCAAGTTTTGTGCCTCTTTGATGGATGAGGAAACTGATCCGAGAAACCACATGACTTGTCAGAGTCACAGAGCAAAGTAATAGCTGTCCGGCCGGTGTGGCTCAGTGGTTGAGTGTCGACCCATGCACTAAGAGGTCGCCGGTTTGATTCCCGGTCAGGGCGCATGCCAGGTTGTGGGCCCAGTCCCCAGTGGGGGGCATGCAGGAGGCGGCCAGTTGATGTTCTCTCTCATCGATGTTTCTACCTCTCTCTCCCTCTCCCTTCCTCTGTCTCTAAAATCAATAAAGGGGGGGGGGAAAGTTAACTCTTTAAAGACAACAAAACAAAGGAATAGCTTTGCAAGGACGTAAGCCTGTTCTCCTGGGGCCCAGTCCAGGGCTCTGGCCACTGGTAGTGGGACGGCTCCCCTGACCCCACGCCCTCCCTGCTCACCTCGCCACTGCTGAGGTCGTCCCTCCCACTGTCTCCCCCAGGATCAGGCAGCTAAGGACAAGGCCCTGCAGAGCATGGCTGCCATGTCGTCCGCCCAGATCATCTCCGCCACAGCCTTCCACAGTAAAGTGGGCCTCGCCCGGGGCCCTGGCTGCCCAGCAGTCTCCGGGGTAAGTGGGGCTGCCTGGAGCCAGAGGCCACGCCAGCCCTCTCCTTCTCGCTCCTCCCCTTCTGCAGAGCCAGCGCCCTGGCCAGGCAAACTGCTCTCGCCGGAGTCCTCTCAGGCCAGGAGAGCCAGGGGGAAGGAGGGACCAAGGACCGAGGGGCCATGCTGGGCGACAGCTCAGCTGGTGTTGCAACCACCTTCCGGAGGCCTTGGCAGGGACTCGGCAGACCTCTCACAAGAGACAAAGCCGCCCCGTTAGCTGACCACCCAAGAAGCTCTACAGAGTTGGTCCAAGGGACAGAGGGGAGCTGAAGTCCTGGAGACGGGGCTGGAGCTGAGGCCCTGTGCCCTGACCCTGAGGCGCCCCTGCGCCTCGTCCCGCTCCCGCAGGTACTCGGCTCTGCTCTCCTCCCAGCTGGAGGGCTGATGTCCAGGAACAAGCTCCTCTTCGAACTGTAAATGTTTCGGCCTACGCCCTGGTCTCAGCCAGGACCAGGTCGGTCACACTTTCAGAATGGTCCAGAAAGGCTCCTCCTTTCCAGGCTGTGTCCCCACAGGGTTTTCTGGGCTGTAAGGACTCAAAGGGTCTTCAGGAGCCGCCCCAGAGGCAGCGGCAGGCCCCGTCCCGGGCTCAGTGCAGCTCTTGTCCAGCATTTTCTCAGAGGGTGTCCGGAGAGCGCCCGTGACAGGGTGACGAAATAGATAGGACGCAGGGCGGTCCTGAGCATAAGCGTGGGGCACTGAAGTCTAGCCAGGTTTCCTGACTCGGACTGCCGGAGCCCGCGTGCCGCCGTGCGCTGTGGCGCGCTCTCGCGTGGAGCGCCGTGTCGCCAGAGCGTGTCCAGAGGCTAGAGTTCCTTGAGACACACTTTGGGACGCTGCTGTGGCCACGCTCTAGACAGTAGCACTGGCTCTCGCCCTGCCACCCGCGGGTCCAGGCTCCCGCCGCACCGTCCAGCGGAGGCCACCGCCTCCCCACACCAGGGCCCTCGTGCACGTGGGCCACGCTGACTCTGCGCTTTTTGCCTCCTCAGTTTTGGCAAGGGGCTCTGCCGGGCCAAGCCGGAACATCCCACGAGTGAGTATGGCCTGCTGCCCGTTGCTCCCTGGACTGGACTTGAGGGCACAAAGTCATGAAGTGGAACCTGGGCCCCAGGGTGGGACAGGGCTGCAGTCTGGGGTGTACCTGTTGTTACAGCCTTGAACTTGGGGATCAGGCTTTCCTGCTCAGGCAGCCGCTCAGGCTTCATGGTGGACACCCTGGGGTGGCATTTGCCAAAACTCCAGTCCGTGGTGTAGCAGAGCCAGAGGTTGGGATCCCAAGGGAAGGAGGCTAGGAACCAGGCTCTGGCTGGCCCGGGAGGGAGGGACAAGGGAGAGGCAGACTTTAATAGATGTGCTGCTTCTGTGGATCAATCACGAACGTGAGGGGGCTGGCAGGAGAGGAAGTGGGAGACCAAAGCCCACCAAGGCCACTGATGACCAGACCCCCGGCCTGCCACACAGAGAGCCAGGGGCACTGCCCGAGGCCCTGGCTGCAGCCTGCCCGAGGCTTACACCTCTCTCCTGTCTCCTGCAGTGTGAAACCTTTCTCTCAACAAACCTACACTGTCCAGCCTTCGCTGCCTCTGCCAGGTGGGTCTGCAGTGCACAGCTCCCTTGCCCATTGTACCCCTCCAGCTCCTGCCCCCAGGTCCCAGGTGGACACCTGCCCTCTTAGATGCCACCCTGGCATGGGCTGAGACCATGCACCTCAGTGTCCTGTCTCCACCCCATTCCCTGCCCAAGCACACCCACCTCTTCTGTGTGCAGCCCCTTCCTGCCCCTCAGGCAGCCTGTCTCTCCCAGCCTGGGCTTGGGCTCCCAGGGCGCACAGTCACCCCGTGTGCCCTGCACACCTTGGCTCCTGAGATGGCCTCCCTCTTGGTGGCCCTGTACTCCTCTCCTTCAGACTTTCCAGCCCGGAAAGGGAACCGTCCTGGGAAGGGCCCGGAGCGTGGGTGGGGCAGGCGCAGGGGCAGCAGCTGGGCAGGTGCAGGAGCTCGTCCCCGTGCATGGCTCAGGGGACCAGCTCTGTCCTTGCCTCTTTCTGACGAGGGTCCCTCACCATTGTCCACTCTGCAGGGCAGGACTGGATCCTTGCCCTTCAGCACCTTTTCTTCCTTGGGGAGTAACACTGCCCACCTTCCGGCCTGGCCCTCCCTGCCTGACAGCAGCCCTGCGCCGTCCACGCCCCTGGCCGTGCCTCCCTGGCCTCGCTGCCCTAGCTCAGGCCCTCCTAGCTCTTACCGAGATCACTGTGGCCGCCGCTTAGCCAGCTCCGGTCTGCAGTCTCTTCTCTTCACCCCGTAATTCTGGTCGTCTTTTTAAAGCCCCCATCTCACCATGTTGCTTCTAGGTGGGAAATCCTGTCATGGCTCTTTGGTGCCCTCAGGACACAGTCTCAACTCTGGTAGGACTTGGGGGCTCTTCTGTGAACCTCACCTTTCTCTCCTTTGGGCAGTGGCTCAGGCTCCCCTCCCTCGGGGTTCTCCGCCCTGCCCCACCCAGTCAGGTGCCCTGCTGTTGGCCCCTGAGCACTCCTGCACCCTCACCTCGCACCTGACTTGTCATCTTGTGGCTGATGGAACGTGTCCTCGTGCCCTGTCCTGCGCCCAGCGGTTCCTCAGGGAGCGTGCTGAGCCAATGAGTGAATGACTCGGCCGATGCACCTGTCCAGTGCAGTCCCCCACCCACCCCTCTGACTACCGTTTCTTCTCCATCTCCCTCCTCCATCCCTCAGACCCTAGCCTGGGAGGGACACTGGTGTCATCCGGAGGTCCCCCCACTGCTGTCATCCCATCAGTCACCAGGGCCTGTGCTCACTTCACATCCGACTGTCCCTCTCTTCACGCCCCTGCATGGCTCAGTTCAGATCCGCAGGGACCGAGCGTCAGGTCTGCCCCACCCCGTCCTTCCTCCAGACGGGAGGAGGATCTTACAGAAATGCAGACCTGAGCATTTCACTGCCCTGCTCCAACTCCTCGTTCCTCCCCGGGACTCTCGGGCTGAATCGCACACTTCTCAGCGTAGCCCATGTCCTCACCTGTTTCCCGCCACTGGCCAGGCCGCCCTTCTCTTCGTCCTGCTGCACACTTGTGCTTCCAAGCTCACGGGGCATCTCACAGCCCCAGGCCTTTGCTCTGCTGCGTCCTCTGCTCCGAACTCTCCCCGGCTCACCTACTGCCATCTGCTTCTACTTCATGACTTCCAAACATCACCTCCTTCGGAAAATCCTTTCCTGACCACCCCGATTGGACCAGCAGCTCCTCTTTGGTGCTGAGCACGTACCTTGTCCATTTGTATCCCACGGGTGACTTCGTTAGCAGACCTGTGTCAGAGTGCGCTCGGGGCCGGGCACTGCGCTCGGTGCTAGAGAGACGGAGTGGCCCACCAGGGAACTCTTCTCGCAGGGCCTACATCACTGTGATTGAGGTTGTCTGGTCAGCTCCCCAGGACCAGAGGCCTTTCCAGGGCGGGAACCCTTTCTCTAGAAGCCCTTTCGGGCCCGCGGTCTCCCTGGAGTGTAGTTCTGTGCGGACGGGGGACTGAGTTGTAGCAGGCCAAGGCTCCCCGGGCTGCTCCTGGACTCGCTGGCAGTGCTCTGTACTCCCCTCCACCGCCCGTCAGCCCCTTTTGGGGAGACGGGAGGTTCCCTCGCCAGCACAGGGTCTCCGGTGGGCCTGGGGTCCCCACAGAGGGCGTGGGCAGGGAGGGTGTGTGGATAGGCTCCCATGTGCCGCCCCCACTGCTCGCAGGGTTTGAGTCTCCTGCGGGACCCGCCCCGTCGCCCTCAGCGCCCCCGGCGCCCCCGTGGCAGGGCCGCAGCGTGGCCAGCTCCAAGCTCTGGATGCTGGAGTTCTCCGCCTTCCTGGAGCAGCAGCAGGACCCTGATACGGTAGGTCCTGGCCATCTGCCGCCCTTTCTTCCCGGAGGTCCCTTGCCTTCCGCAGCCCGTGTTCACCTGCTGCTGTCTCTCGCCCAGCCCCCGCCCCACTCCACGTGGGCTCCCTTCGGGTTCCTCATTTCTTTCCTTCCCTTGAACCTCTCTCTCCTTTTCCGTTGCTTCCTCAAGTCGTCGCCCTCTTCCTCCCTCTCTTCCTGTAGCTATTGCTCCAATCCCAAATCCCTCCCGCCTTTTTCTGCCCCGTCCCTGTCCTCTCAGGTCCCTTCCTGCTCCCTCCCTGACCTCTGTCCTTCCCTCCATGTTCCCTTTCCTCCCAACCAGTCCTCACAGTCCAAAGCTGCTCGTCCCAGCCCCACCCCAGGCTGTCCCATCCTTTCCCTGGGGCTCCGAGGAGCCTCCGGAGTGCAGCCCACGTCCCCAGGAGGCCAGCTGGGAGCAGAGCCCTGCCCTCACCTGTCCCCGTCAGTGTCTTGTGTCCTGGGTGACGCCGTCACCTGCAAAGGTCAGAGGAGCCTTGAAGGAGGCTGGGCCGACGGACTCGGCAGCTGTCTCGCTTTGACATTTCCGAACTCGTTCAGCTGAGGAACCCGTTAGTTAATCAGACGAGCTCTTCCTTAGAAGCCCGGTGTGTGCAACAGAAGTAGGTTTCGTTTGGTCGTAGCAACAGAGGTGCCCAGCCCCATCTCCAAGGGTGGAGCCCAGTTTGGAAACATCGTATCTAGGTCAGTGGTCTTACCTCACAGGTGAAATTACAGAGGTCCAAAGATAGAAAAAGTCTGGCCTAAAGACATTTTGTACTGAGGCCGGGTTAAGAATAATACAAATACCAGCTACAATGTGTTGAGCACCCAGCGGGTGCGGGGCACTGCCCCAGGTGCTTTATACCACTCACTTCGCTTTACATTCAGTCCTGTGCTTGTCTCCATTTTACCAGTGGGGAAACCGAGGTCCAGAGAGGTGAACTCACTTGCTCCAGGCCCCGTGGCTGGGATCTGCGCTCTGGTCTGTTCTGTCTGCCTTGCTGCCCACACCTGTCCCTGAGCCCAGCTGTTCTCTCCACAGTACAACAAGCACCTGTTTGTACACATCGGCCAGTCAAGCCCAAGCTACAGTGACCCCTACCTCGAAGCCGTAGACATCCGCCAGATCTATGACAAGTTCCCAGAGAAAAAGGGTGGACTCAAGGAGCTGTTTGAACGGGGACCTTCCAATGCCTTTTTTCTCGTGAAGTTCTGGGTAAGCCTTCGATAGACTCTTCCGCCCCCTCCGCAGCACGTCCATGAGAGAGGAGAGAGGAAGCGGGCGCATGGTGCCCTCGCCAAGGCGGGAACCCAGGAGGGCAGGGCCAGAGAAGGGGACGAGCAAGTAGCCGTGGCGGAGACCGCAGTGGGGCCAGTGGGGCCGGAGCTGGCTAGTGCGAGGCCCTTTTCTGACCCGTGGTCATGGCAGCCACGCCTGGGCAGAAGTGCAGCCTGAGGAAGGCTGTAGTCCTGGAAGAAGACAGGACATACTGAGGGGCAGGCGAAAAGCCAACGTGGACGCCCTGAGTCACCCAGGTCTTTGAATGAAATGGCAAGTCCTGAGTTGGTTTCAGGGCCTGGAGCAGGGCAGTTGGTCTCTAAAAGCTCATTTCCAGGGACAGGCCTGGGAGAAATGGACTGTAGGGTTAGGAAAAGTCACCCCAAAAGAAACGCTCGCCTAACTTTACAGACAGCTCAGCCTGTAGACTTGGTGTCCGCTGCCCTCCTCACCTGGCCCCTGGACAGTGTTATGTGGGTAGAGTTCCCTCTTTTCCAAACATCTTCTCTAAGGCTAGGAGGCATAATTAATACCTGCTCCGGGAGCTTCCTTTCCAGGGCGCTCAGTACACAGAAGAGGTGCAGGTGTAGGAAGGCCTTCTGGTTTGTGATCGGAGCCTTTGAGTCGTTTCAGAGCATTGACAGTGACATTGGCCTGGGCGGCTCCTCCCACGTTCCTCTCCCTGCACCCTTCGCATCCAGGAGACGGCTCAGGGATTCTTCTCCTTTATGAGGCCCCAGGCTACTTTGATGATCAGAAAGCTTTACTTTCCCTGGAAATAGGCATATTCGCACGAAATGTTACATGCATTTCTAGGTGGCTTTCAGGCCCTTGGCTAGGATTCCTCGCCTAGCTCACTCACAGCCAGACCGTGGGGCCGGCTCTCTCCAGGAGGGGAAGTGCTGGAGCTGAGCCCACGGCCCCTGATCTTTCAGGGGCTTATTGTCTGCACTTGCATTGAGCTCGTTCTGTGAGCAGGGTGCCCACTGGACAGGGCCTTTCAGGGTGGGCAAGGTCCATGGGGCAGAGACAGGGAAAGGCCGTTACAGCCTCGGGAGGTGTAAGGAAGGGGCTCGGGGGGGCAGGCGCTGGGTCCAGGTGTAGGAGACGAGATGGCTCGAAAGGCGAGTTAGATCCTGGAAGGCCCTGATCATACGGAAGTTTGGGTTCTAATGTGTCCTGGGATGAAACACTGGTAAACGTTTCTTTTACTTTTATCTTATTTTTAAATCAATGAATGCTCATAGTTATTTTGTTTAATACCAGGAGGCTTATAATGAAACATATCAGATTCTTGTCTCAACCCTAATCCCAATCCCCAGAGACAGTCACTGTAAATTTTCACTGCTTATTCTGTTTTTTATCTCCTTAATTCTAAATAATATGCTTATACTGACATACTTTGATATCATGACTAAGACCTTTATTTTTTGAAGGGGGGGTTAATCCTCACTTGCTCACTTGAGGATGTTTTTCCATTGATTTCAGATAGAGTGGAAGGGAGGGAGGGAGAGAGAGACATTGAAGTGAGAGAAACACATCGATTCGTTGCCTCCCACATGACCCCAACCAGGCCAGGATCGAACCTAAGACCCTTGGTCCGAAGGCTAATGCTTTAACCGCTGAGCCAAACCAGCCTGGGTGTCCCAGTATATTTTTTAAATTTTACTTACTGATTTTAGAGAGAGAGAGAGAATCAACGATTTGTTGTTCCACTTATTTATGTATTCATTGGTTGATTCTTGTATGTGCCCTGACTGGGGATCGAACCCACAACCTTGGTGTACTGGGACTATGCTCTGACCAACTGAAACTACCCTGCCAGAGCGTCATCATCCCAATATTATCATGTCTAATAAGTTACACAATTTAGTCAAAGCCAAAAAGTATATTGTGATTAATTTTATTTCTATAAAATAAAATTTTATTTGTCTTTTTCCTACAAATAAATGGCTTTCTCATTTACATATTTTTAAATAAATGTATTATTAAAATTTTACAGATTGCTTCATTATGACCACCATATAAAATTGTTGCCCTGGCTGGTTTGGCTCAGTGGTAGAGCATCGGCCCTCAGACCAATGAGTCATGGATTCTATTCCGGTCAAGGGCACGTACCTTGGTTGCTGTTCGTCTTTGGCCTTGGTTGGGGTCAACCAGTTGATGTGACTCTCTCACATTGACGTTTCTCTCTCTCTCCCCCTCTCCCACTTTATCTGAAGATAAATAGAAAACAAATATCCTTGGTTGAGGATTAAAAAAAAAAATGTTAAAAATTTCGCCCCAATGTTCAAACCTATCAGATAATTTATCAGTTCCTCCTCTCTCCTAGAAACCTTTCTCCTGGATGCCTGTGTTGGGCTCCGGTTTAACTGGTTAATCTCGAGGGCTGTTGTGGTCCTGAGACTGTTCTTACTGAAGCTCTCCTGTGTTGAATCTGCAGTGTCCTGGATCTCACATGTCTGCCTCATTTGCTGGGACACAGGCTCCAGAACCTTCCTAAGGAAAGATAACATGATGCATGAATGCTCAAGTCTTTGCTTAAAATGTCGGTCTTTGTACTTGATCAATAAATTGACTGGATATAGAATCTAGATCATAAATCACTTGCAGCAGAAATGATTTTCAAGAATCATTTTTAATGCATTGCTCCATTGTTTCTAACAGGCGTAGTGTGATAGTGTCTAATTTTCTGCCCTTGGTTGTGTAGCTTATTTGAGGGGTTTGTATGGTTGGTGGGTTTTTTTTGTTTTTGTCTCTAGAAGTTTTGCATTTCTTCTATATCTCCCTTATGTTCTTAAATTTCAGATTGATGAGCTTTGGGATATGTGTTATACTTTCTATTTTTCAGCCAGGCACTTGGTAGGCGCTGTTAATCATGAGGTTAGAGTCTCTTAATTTGGGGAAATTTACTTGTGTTATTTCTTTGGTAATTTCTTTCCCTCTTTTTTTTTTTCTTCTTTCCCAGGAACCCCTCTTAGTCTGATGTTGGCTCTCCTGGACTTATCCTCTGTGGTTTTTATTATTTCTTTATTTTCAAACTCATTTTCTTGGCGATTTCCTTAACTTTTTCTTCTCATTCTTCTGAATTAGTTAAGAGCATATCTGAGTGCTTATTACACAAAACCCAAAGTAACAGTGGCGTCAATAAGTGGTTTGTTTTTCTTTTATGTAAGTAAGTCTGGAGGTAGACCGTCCAGGGCTGGTCCAGCACTTCCTGAAATCGCCAGGGGCTGACTCCACTCTGAGGCTCTGCGCCCTCAGCGCATGACTTCTGTCCTCAAGGTCATGGCTGCTGGAGTCAGCGTCACACCCATACTCCAGGCATCAGGAAGGAAGAAGCCAACTTAGTTCCTTTCAGGGAGCCCTCCCGGAAGTCCCGCAGGACACTCAGTTAGTTGTACGTTGCACTCAGCTGAAGAGCTAGGGAAATGTACTCGTAGTTGAGTAAATTTCCCAATAAAATCGGGGTTTAGTTGACAGTGTTTTTCTTTCTTAGTGTCCGTGGTGTATCGCACACTTCATGGTGAATTACATGTATAGAATATGGTGCATTCTCTGCTATGCCTTCTGCCCAGTGTTGAATTTTGATCATAAACTTGAATTTTTAAAGAGCTCTTTTTTGTTCTGTCATTGCATCCTGGTCTTGTTGGATGGGTACAATTTTTCTGTTCTATTTCTGGGAATATGAAGTGAAAATTATTGTTTAAGCCCTGGCCGGTTTGGCTCAGCGGTTAGAGCGTTGGCCTGTGGTCCAGAGAGACCTGGGTTTGGTTCCCGCTAAGGGCACGTACCTCGGTTGCAATTTGTCCCCAGCCCTGGTTGGGTTGTGTGGGTGGCAACCACTCGATATGTCCCTCTCACATCGATGCTTCTTTCTCTCTCTCTTCCTCCCTCCCACTCTATCTGAACAAAAAAATGGAAAAATGTCCTTGGATGAAGATAAAAAAAAAATTTATTTTTTAAGTTTTCTTTTCCCTTTTTTGGTCTGTTTCCCTTTAATCCTTTTTTTCTTCTGTTTTGGTCTCTGTCTTTCAAGTTGAAGGGTTTTCTCAAATATCCATAACCCTTGGCCATATTTTGGCCCATATTTTTAAAAAAACAGCTTCATTGTCATATAATTCTCTTACCATACTATTCACCCACTTGACGTGTACAATTCAGTGTTTTTAGTATAGTCACAGAGCTGTGCAGCCAGTGACTTTTAGAACATGTTCATCACCTCAGAGGCACCCTTGAGCTATCATCCCCCACTCCTACCCCCCAGCCTTAGGAACCACTAATCTACTTTCCATCTCTATAGCTTTGCGTTTTGGGACATTTCATATAAGTGGAATCATACAGTATGTGTTGTTTTGCTTCTGGCTTCTTTCACTCAGCATAAGCGAAGGTTCAGCCATATTGTGGCAGGTATTAATACTGCATTCCTTTTAAGGCTGAATAATATTCCATTTGTAAGGGTGTACCACATTTTGTTTTGTTTACCTGTTCATCAGTCGAGGGCCATTTGGTTGTTTCCACCTTTTGGTTATTATGAATAATGTTGCTATGAACATTTTTTTTTTTTAGAGAATAGTTTATTGATTTTCTAGGGAGAGGGAGAGAGAGAAACATCGACGTGAGAGAGACACATCGATGGGCTGCCTCCTGCACACTCTGAAACCCAAGCATGTGCCCTTGACCAGGAATCATACCTCCTGGTGCGCGGGACGGCACCCAGCCAACTGAGCCACACTGGCCAGGGCATTTCTGTACAAGTTTTCATGTGGCATAATGTTTCTTCCTTTCTCTTAGGTACATACTTAGTTGTGGAATTGCTGGGTCACATAGTAACTATGTTTCCTTATTGAAGAACCGCCAGACCGTCTTCCAAAGCGGCCACCCCATTTTACATTCCCACCGTGTGAGCGTGAGTGTCCCAACTTGTCCACATCCTC